GGGAAAACACCCCAAGATTCTCTCTGAACAACTTCGCAAAAGCAGCTCTCTCTGAAAGACTAGTTATGAGACACATCAAACTTCCACTTAAGGAAATAATTAGCTATCTCTGAGCCACTGTTTTCAGGCCAGCTTTGTCTTGCTAAGAAGACTTGTATATTAATATATATGCATACCTTCTATGACTCAGAGAACAGTTTGATTTTTTCTCATTCCATTTTTGAACCAAAATGTTTATCATACATTGTGGTGTGTTGTCCAGTGTAGTCATGCGACACATCCTGGGAAGACCAACTATGTTGTGCATTTTCTGTCACAGAAATGAGAAAACAGTAAAGGTATGGTGTACACATGCATGTATAACCCTGATTAATGTTTAGTAACACTTAAAGCAATTTCCATTTGAAACTCTGCTTTTGATGTAGACAACCTGCCCAGCACTCACAGTGAGAAGCCAACAGAAAGGCACCTGAAGGAGTGATCCTTTACCCTGTGTTGACACGGGTTTGCCTGTAGTGAAAAGGGCACAACAAACAGCATCTTTCTGCTTGCTTTAAAGAAGAGGCTCTGGTAAGCAGAAAGAACTTCTTTGTAGAAATTACATGCAGTACTTAACAAAACAAACCCACTCCTGTTAGAGTTATATTTGTTCTTGCTAAATTTTGCCCTGTTACAGGTAGATGGCCTGGTGATAGGAGCATCTATCCACATGGCATGCTATTTATTTGCTGAAGTACAACCATTGTGAAAATGTTTGCTGCTAACACTATTATTTTAAAAAAACAGGAAATCAAATCCTTAGACTGACAGAAGTCCCACACTAGCTGCCTTTTCAGAACAATCCTTTGAAGCTGTAAATTTGTCCCTGCAGAAACTTCTAGAATTGTAGACAAAACATTTGTTTTCACTTGCTGAGTTAATTGTAAATGAGGGAGGGAAAAGATACTAGGCTGTGATTTTGGAAAGCAACTGAGTCAAGTGTTTCTATTCTGACCACTGAAGAGAACCTAAGTGGTAAAACTCTTCAAGGAGCCTGGCTAACTTAGTGAATTACAAAGATAAGCTCTATTCTCTCGTGTCCTTTCAAAAGTGGAGCAAATTTGAGCCCTTTCTTGTTCGCTGAGAAACAGTAGCACTTGTTGCATCGGATCAATTTTTATATTCCTTCTTTTAGTGGCAAATACTAATACTATGGACATTTTTCCATGTACTCAAGTGCTCATGCTCAATTTCAGACACAATGAGAAGAAATACATCTGCAATTATGATTTTCATATCACATGTTCATACATGTATATTCAGGCTTTCAAAATCTGGCTCCAGATGTTTATTGTGCAAGAAAATAAAAATTTGCTTGTGAAGTTCATGTCTAAAAATCTTGTTTTTATATTAGCTAGACAATATATACAAATACCAAGGCTTCATCCTGAGAAAATCCTGAGTATGTTCTTTATTTTAAGAGCATGCAAAATCTCTTTCACTGCCAGTTAGAATGACCTTGTTTGACATCAATACTGTATTAACTACCTTAGTAAATAGATCACTTCTCTTATACATTTGATCAATTTAACATTTGGAAGGGACCCACAAGGATCATCAAGTCCAGCTCCTGGCCCTGCTCAGAACCATCCCCAAGAGTCACACACTGTGCCTGAGAGTATCATCCAAACAGTGCTCAAACTCTGTCAGGCTTGGTGCTGTGACCACTTACTTGGGGAACCTTTCCCAACATCCAACCACCCTCTGCATGAAGAACCTTCTGGCTTAGAAGAAGCCATCCCATTCAACCTCTAAAAATGAAAGTTCTTTTTAAAATCTTGTTTGTTTTCCCAACTTATTTAGTAGGGACCCTTCAAAACGAATAAAGGAAAAAGCACCTTATTTTATGTACAGCTGTCATAGTTTTGCTTCAATGAGTAAATCAGAGTGAATATTACAAGTTAATTTAAAACATGATTTCAGTTTCAAGGTCCCGTAAGTAGAGAAGAATCTCAGACTGATCTTTTTTTTTAAAAAAAAATAAAATTAGAATTTGTTAAATTTAATATTTTATTTAATACTTTATTTATGTTTATTTCTCATGTTTCTATGGAAAGAGAGTCTTTCCCAACCTTCCAGGCAATATTGCTTATATTTTACTTAGTTGGAGGTGTCATCGATAAAACATAAATCAGCAACTGCTAAAGCAAGAAGGAAATTCTAAAGCCAGGCTAGTGATCCCTCAATGGCAACAGTGACACTCAGTCTTTGTATGAGGTATTGGAGATCTGTGGTAAGATAAAGAAAATAAATCTCTGGGATGTGGATGAGATCACTGTGGCTTTTTCCAAAGAGCTGCTAGTCTAAAACTTCTGACTGATGATAAATCAGAAATCATTAATTTGGCCAGTCCACAGCTCATTACACAGGTGAAGTTTCTCTCAGCTAAAATAAAATGCAGTGCTCCCTCCTGCCGAGTGAATGCTGACAGAGAAGGAGGAAGGTAGAAGCATGTGCCCTAATCCCAGTCTCTTTACTGACAGCATGAAGATCATGGTAGAAGAAAGCATTCCTTACGTAAAAGCTATGCTGTTGGTAGATAAATTTCTTTTTCCCTTTTGACAGTGAAGGCAAGGTTGTGATTAGCCATGTGTTACATCACAAATGATTGGTAGAAGAGTATGCCTACAATTTTGAGTTAAATCAGACTGGATGCTCTTGTTAATCTGATACTTTTGCAGTGAGGCCAGATATTAAGGCTACTGTGAATCAGAAAAGCATAGAACACTATAATTTCTATGGATTACTGAAAGTTCCCTATACTGCAAGAGAATCAAATACTGGAGAGGAAACTTTAATGCAGCAAAATTGTCTTGATTCATAGTCTGAACAGCAGTCAGGTTTAGGCTGGTCATTTTCTGAGCACTTCCTAGACAGTATTTTTCATTAACTAAAAAAGTACCTTTGAAACTGTCTATGTACATTCTTCAACAGTTTATTTTTATTAACAGGCTTGTGGTTAGATAGTCCATCAGATATCAGCACTTTGGGACCTCAATAGCTGACTGGCTGCCACTTCCTTTCTCCATGGCCCAATTAGTTCAGAACTGCTGGATATGCTGCAGGGATCCTGCTGCCTTCATCTGTCCTGAGGAGCAGTGATTTGAGTGTAAGGATAGAGGGTTTGGGGGTTTGGGGGAAGAAAGGGTGTTTTAGATTTGGCAGTATTGTCACTAATTTGCCCTAACTAGGGTTGACGTGCAGAAGAAAGGCTGTTGGATTTGAGGATGCAAGTATGTAATGGTACATGTTAAAAGTGGTAGCTGAATATTTAAGACGAAACAGAACGATATCACTTGCAAAACTGCTAAACTGAATTTCTATCCACTGATTAGTTTTGTACCTCTGTCCTACTGTTTTTATGTATTTTTCAGCAGCTGGAGTATTTTTTCTTGGTCCTTAGAATTCTCTTCTGGGGCAAATCCTAGCCTCTCATCTCTGAGGCCATCTGCAGATTTCCCTAGGCTACTATTGTATGAATAATCAGTTGTCTCACTTAAGAAATTCTCTTTGTTCTACATCATTAAATGCTGACTCCTGCTGCTGCTATGACAGATTACTTTTCAGGAATCTACAAGGGGAGTTGTCTCGTATCTTAGCAGCGGGTCTTTGCTGTGAAACAAAAGAATACACTGAAGAAAGCATGAGAAAATTTGAATTTATAATATTTAAAAGACAGAAAAATAAAAAAAAAGAAAGGTGGTCTAAGTGTACTCCATTTTGAGGTCTGTATTTCCAAAAAGGTAAGAAGAGCCTTCAAATGAAGTTTGAGGAATATAATTCATAGCTCTTGTCAAGGCAGTACTGAGAGAGTCATTTGGCAAGGAGAAGGGGAAGATACAATGGGCTAGGAGGGAATTTAAAATAAGACCATCTTGCTGTAGGCAACTGTAGGTAAAAGGGAAATGATTCTATCGAAAGCATGAGTGATAGCATCTAGTGAAGCACAGTAATGATCCAAATGACCTGAAGGTTTGTTCTTCCATCTTGGCCTTTTTGTTGTGAAGTCCTTTCCCAGATTTATCTTCCTGACCACTGCAGCTCTCTGCTAACTCTGTGCATTAGTTACTCTAGAGCATGATCTCTAACAGATGCCTTTGTGAACGGTTTTCCTGGTGCACTTTAAAACCCAGATATATTCCCAGTAGCTCCTGCTGTCTCTCTGCCGGTATGCCAATACCCTGTAACCAGCATCTTAAGCCAATTTGCCTAGTGCCTTTTCCTTTCTACTCTTGATAGGCAACCACCTTTCTCTGCATGGAAAGAGTCTGTTTTCAAAACTTGTTGCTTTTCTCATGTTGAAAGAGCACCGAAATGGGCAAATCTTGTGCCTGTTTATGTGTGCAAATAGATTTGAAACTGTAACCCACTGGAATGTTGTTATTCTGCAGTGTTTTTAGACTGCAAGCATTACATACAAGGGTGAATCCCTTTGAAATGGGCTGCAATACTGGACTTCTTCCTAGATTATGTCATGCCATCAGGTTGGCATGTGAGAACTTATGGTGACCTGTGGCTGAAGCATGCTGTCCATGCTCTTTTTGTCTTAATGGTTGTTTTCTGTCTTGCGTCTTAAATCATCTTTTGTGTGTTAGTGTGTTTTCTTTTAGTCTGGTTGTTCCTCTGTCATTTATAACAACACCTTTTGTCTGTTTTCTCATTTGGGAGTTAGCCTTGTAGAGGTGATGCTCCTGGCACGGTCACCAGAACAAGGGACCAAGGGTCTTGCCAGTGGTGACTCTGCATCATTGCTGACAGCAGAGAATGTTGTTGTTTCATTCTATTTAGCTTCAAAGCAGTCCGTGTTCTATATGAAACTGCTTGAAGAAAATTTGATTCTGCTAAGGAGAAAGAAATGAAAATATCTTCATTCAATGTGTGTGCTTCCTCACCTGATACCCCCTTAGCTGCATTTTCTACTGCACTGTCACAAACCCCATCAATTTCTCCAATTTCTTCAGAAGGAAGAGAGGATTTGCAGGTTAACCGGCTGGAAACGCAAATATGGATAAAACCAGACATGCAGAAGACAGATGTGGACTTTTCAGAAATTCTTAATGCAATACAAGAAAGTAAGTTATTCCTTGGATGCAAAATTGTGTTTGTGGCAGGAGATTCAATTGAGATTCAGCTATTCAGTTATAGCTGAAGGAACCTACAAAGTGATGAACTGAATAATAAGTATGTATGACTAAAGTCTCTGAGAAAGTTCAGCAGGTTATTGAAGACCAATAAGAAATCTTTTACTATCAGAGAAGTAGTAGTAAGATTTGAATTATTATGTGTCTAAGGATTCCAGCAGTATGTTTTCTATGCAGACATAATCAGAAATAGTAAAATTCCTGTTACTTTAATCCATTCTTTACACTCCTAAGTGGCTATGTGAACTAATAATGTTGAGCAAATGCTGCAGTCACGTATTTGAAATTCCAGCTATTTCAAAGTGTTGGAGTGTATTCCCATTTTTGCAGCTGTTAGTTTTTGGGAGCAGAAGTCATGAGCTTGTCACAACAAGTGAAGGTCAACATGTCTTAGATACTGCATAAAATAATCTCTTTTTACATATAATGGGCTGTGGACTAAGAATTAATTGATTCACCCTTCTTAAATCCAACTTCAGAATGATCTCAAGGCTTGTGCTAGAAGAAGTACTACTGTTAATAACAGCAGAAGTTATCCTCCCTACCCAGAATTGATGCAATTCTGGAATCAAAAAGAATCTGGAATTTCAATGAGAAATTTTCTATCATGGTTTGAAAACTTTTATGCAGGGCAAGAATCAAAATGCATGGCATGACCTCCTGGTTTCCTTATTTTCTAGGTTTGTTTTAGACTCTGTGTTTAGTGTAGCAATTTTCTAAGGTGCGAAACAGCAACTTCCATTTTAGAGTGATGAAAGACAAATAAGAATATGTAAAATCCTGGATTCTGCTTGATTTTTGCCATATGAATAAGGAAAAACACACTGGTAGAATCAGACTGATGGTTTCTGATTTGATTTGATTTTGATTTGAATGTTTGTGGGTGGAAGGAAAACACATAGGTTAGTATGATGGTGGGGGTAATAATTTGCAATTAAATCACCTTATCACTTAAGCTGCAGGTTTAGGATGAACTTTGTGTCTTGTAACTTAAAAGGGTTTTTTCCATCTGGAAATCTTAATATGAGATTTTGCTTTTTCCCTTCTTCTCCATACCAGTACAGCCCATATACAGGCTGGGGGCAGTGGGGATGCACACTGGAGAGGCTGAAAAGGCACTATATAGTCTTTCAGAAGCTGAATAGACAAGATAGATAGCTAAACATGGAGAAGCAATTCAAGCTGGGAGTGTATTAAGAACTAACATTTTGATTTATGGATTATTTACAAGCCATTTGAGACAGATGTAGCTTTTACAGCCTTGGAGATAGTGTTTTTTCTTTATCCAGACCAGACACAGGTGCTGTTGGGAAGTCAATCTCTATGTCCTTCAGCAAAAAAAAAAAAATGGTTTCTGTGGCTGAACAACCCATTTTGCAGGGGCTTGTTATGTGTCCAGGGCAGTGTCTTGTCACCTGCAGTCTGTTGTGAATATCATATAATGAAGGTAAACACATCTAAATATTCTTTCTCTGTTAATTGCTCTGAATAGTCAATGTTACTTTTATTCCCAGTTGTTACTACTTAATGATAGTTTAAAGAAGGCTAATGATGCTTTTAAAGACAGCATACTTTTTCTCACTAGCATAAGATTCCTGAGCATTTTCCTATTCAAGGGGTGCCTTGTGCCAGCTAGCTGGCATATCTTTCTGTTTGGTAGATGGCCAAGAGTGATCATTCAACAGAATTTTTTTTTCTTTTTAGTTTAGTTACTGAAAACATTTTGATCTCAAGCTACTCTGTTTTTTCTTTTACCATAATGAGTCTCTTAGATAGATATTTACCATCTCATGATTCACTTTTATGTGACTATATTCCTATTATGAAAGACTTAAAAGTCACTTCTATTGCATCAAGACTGAATGCTACATTTCAGTACAATAGTAAGGAGCTGAACAAATTTTTCTAAATATTCCTGGTAGTTCTTACATAAACCAGTTTCTTTACAACCACATGATATTACTAATTATCTGTAGTGTATCAGAAATAGTCCAGAAACAATAAATACTAATCTGGAAGTAGCTATAGGCAACCCACTGTAGATTAAAGGATTACAAAACAGGATGATGGATCTGACCTAAACCAACCTTGCAAACTAGACAGCAGTGTTGTCAAGGTTCTGTATGCAATTCTGTCAGGCTGGAACCAGAATTCCCTGTTGATGCCTACTCACAGCTTGTACCAAGGCCACAGCCCCAGCACAGCTGGGTGGCACTGGGGCAGTCCCATCCCTGGGCAGAAGGTATCTCCCTGGTGCAGTGGGGCTCTGGGGAGCTGGAGACCAACACTGATGTGTAGTTACTGAATTTAACATGTAACATGATAAAAAGTTCATGTGTGTGGTATCTGTAGGATAGCCTACTTCAAGTAAAAATTGGTAAATTCTACTTGTGGCCTTACTGAGTGCAGAAAAATATTTGTACCAAAAGATCAACACAGGTGCTGTAAAAACATAACATGATACAATAAAATGCAAAAAAGTTCTTGGTTTTTTTATACTTGAGCTTTTCTGCTTCGTAAGTTTCTGCAAAGCAGCTATTTTGTACGCAATATTTTTATTAGTATGTGTTCTCCAATATTGCTGCTTTTAAATACAGTCATTTTTTCCAGCACCATTAGCATATGGAAGTCCTCTATACTTATTATAGACATTCCCAGTAAGAATTATTAAGGAAATTCACTTTTCAGTGTTACTGATACAACTAAAAGCTTCCAAAGAACAGCTTCTGGAATACTGATTTTTCAGCTTGTATTATCCAAACCTAGAGTATGCTCTACGATTTGGTGTGACATTTGGTAATAAAATGACAGTTAACGAACAGAAATATGATCTCTGAGCATGTTTCCATCTTGCTACACAGTAATATATTCAGGTCCCCTTTTTTAATGAAAGTTCTTATTTTTAGGGACTTCAGTTTCAGCATCCATCTTCAGAAAGTTAGATGAGTTATCTTGTCTTTGAGCCCTACCACATATCAGCCTTTTGGTGGGAAGTGGCTTGTAGATCCATGGACTCTTGCTTGGAATTTCTCAGCATTCAGTTTTCAGAATATGTAGTTCTACTATCTTTGGGATAAAAACATTTATACATTCACTTTTTTTTTTTTTCCTGTTCTTCAAGGAATTATGAATTATCAAGTCATTTTGATTTTGTTTCTGCAAAATAGAACATTTCTCCAGAGGCGGAGAAAAGAGTTTGCATATTTAAGCTGATCTAAAAGCAGAGGGAGAATTCTTAATATCTCCTGTAGCAATGTATATGCTGCTCTGTATTCCTGTTAAATTTTTCCTGCTTAAAAATACATGACTATACAGTAGCACCATTCTGTCTCCCAAATAGCATATATACATATAAAATAAAACTATTATATATCATTCTGTTAAGGACATTCGTGGGTATATACATATCATGGTTTGAAGGGGACAGAAAAGAGGGAGCCCTGATTATGCCTTTATCAATATTTGGTCATGCAGGTGTTCATGTCCATTGGACTGGAGGGGACGAGCTACTTTAAGGCAGCAGGAGATTTATCTTGGAAGTACCATCACCATTATTAATATAAGGCAAACAGGATTTGCTATAAAAATTATTTATTTAGTTTTGTAGTACAGTATTTTCTAATTTTATTTTTAAGTATAAAATTAGACTTGGGGTAGAAAAATAATCTTAGCAAATGTTGGGGCCCCGTGTTTAGTTTCAATGACTGATACACTAAAAGCGCATTTTCAAAAACATAAAACATCAGGGTAACTGCAGAGTAAAAAGCTTCACTTTCTCCACAGCAGCACACCTTTACTGCAACAGGAAAAGGTAACAGACACCTTTAGCCCTGATGAGACAGTTCAGTACATCTCTTCATACTTATCCTATTCTGTAGTGACCAACCAACGTATCTATTATCTGCATATTTCTGATATAAGCAATTTTCTACTGCAGGCAATCTGAACAAGCTGTGGTAATTAATTTCGCTAACCAACTGAGATTCACTGATTCTACAACTTCTAGTCACTGCTAAGGTGGGCTGGATTTTAAACTGACCTTAAAACAAGGGTTTTTTTGCTCCTTACAAGTTCTCAGGATAATCCAGTAATTCTCTGCTTGAAGCCCCAAGACACGTTCACTGTCTTACACACCAAGCTCTGCATCTCACATCCCCTTAGAACCCATATATTCTGCAATCCAAAGCATTACTAGCACTTTTAAAAGTAGCAATTCTAGTATCTCAAAGGCATCTTCTTTTATACCAAGACAGTCCTAATGTCAGGATAAAGATAGTTCAAATTCCCTTAAGTATAGCATACAGGCAAAACTTTCGTTTTTGCATCTTTCATTGCCCCTGTCTGCAACAGAAATGTATGTCTTCAATAATCTTCAGAAAGTTTCATTATTTAATTTTTTGGTTTTTTGGTTTGGTTTGGTTTTTTTTTCCACAGTTGTTTTCAGCCTATATTGAGGTGTTAATCTTATATCGACTCACGTGTCACTGTCACGGAGGTACTCTGATGGGTTTCAGTTCAGTGATGTTCAAGTCATTCAAAATGTTCTCTGTTTCAATAGTTCTCTCTGTTGAATATTGAGATTAATTCTTCTCATTTGAACATATATGCAAAATCTGGTCATGATCTACATCCAAATTATTATCTGATGGGGTGGAATGTTTCCAGTCTTGACCTCTGAAACACTACGGGACAGTGAAGGTCAGTTAGCTAGACTGTGCTGTCTTGTGGCAGTTTCCCTCTCTTTTGTAAACATATCTAGTATGATTTTTGTGGATTGAAGTGGATCAGGGTGGCAAAAAATTCTTTAATATTACTGCTGCATGTCCTACAAACTGCAGTCTGGTTTTTGCCTTATAAGTCTCCTAAAACCTCTGTGGCTTGCCCTAGGACAAGTTGGGTGCAGCCACAATGACACTAAGGAGCTGCAGGCTCTCATCAAATAAAGCAAAACAACACCAGAAACTCAGAATCTCTCTTACAAATTATGCTGTTTAGGTTAACACATTAGCCTAATATTTATAGTGGATTAATTTGGACATGAGACTTTTTCTGTTGTTTCTGAAATTTTTAGTGACTTTCTAAGCAAAAGTATTGTGATTAGAAGTACAACATCTGTCATTAAGCTTGTCCATATTTTATACATGAAAATGAAGATAAAGGATTCTTGAATACCTTGATAGGGTTTTCTATTACCTGCAGATGTAATAGCAGACTTTAGATGCTGTAAAAGAGGGGAGGAAATCCTTCCCCATGCTCATGATTGACAAAGACAGACTAATACTTTTGAACTCAGGACGAATATTATGGAAAAAAAAAACTTTCTCCTGTATGTGAGAGTGAAAAATAGGCCACCTGCAGAGACTGGTGCCATCAGCAAATTTTTAACAAGGATTCTTAAACTGGGCTGTGGTCCCTGAAGAAGGGAAAGGTAAAAAGGAGGTCAGAATATGCTCATGATGGCTGGGAACAGTTAATGGTTGGTAATTTCTGGAAGCTATTCAGTCTCTTCACAGTGGGGGAATGGATTTTTACACCTGCAACCAGCAGTTGGAAATGCAACTAAGTTACTGGCAGCAATTAGAGATTTTTGGCTGTTCCCTACTAATATAAATTCTTAGCAACAGGAATTTCAATTGCCTGTCACTAAGTTAGGGTAGCTGAGGATAAGCAAAAGCACCAGGAGGTGGTTGTGCAAAAGAATGATTCCAAAAGTCAGTTAAGTTTGCAAAAAAATGTGAGAAATACGGTGTTAGACAAATGTCTGTAAAGAATATTAGATATTTAGTCCCACTTAGTCAGGAGAAGAGGCTTGGTAGCTGGGACCTTTAGGGGTCCCTTCTAATAGTTGCAACTCTACTGTCATAATTTTGGATTTTGCCTATGAGGCATGAGGTTGGAGAGATGAAGTCCATCCACAGCTGAAGCTTGATCCTCAGCTAAGGGATTTTTCTTCTCCCCACACACATCTCATCACTCTTTTTCACTGGATCTGTAGCATGTGGGGTGCAGGGCGGACCTGCCTACCCTGCACCTCCTGACTGACAGCCACTCCAAGCCCTTACTATCTATACCTTTATCAGGGTTGCATTTGCTACAGCATTCTGTAGAATAAAGTGATTTCTTCACACAAGACTAAGGGCTATGTGGTAGGTAGATCTAAAAGTGTTGGACTTATTTTCATCAAAACATGCCACACTGTGCAAAAACAAATTTTTTTTTTTGCCCGGGTTCATTTACTCAATGCCTTTCAAGTAAGAGTATTTATTTAAGATCTTCTGCCTCTGGCTGCCCCACAGGTCTGTACAACTTCAAACTTTGTACTTCATGTAGTAGGTTCAAATTCTTCTTCTTTATAGTAAGAAATTTTCAGAGATGATACTCACCCAGAAGGTAATCATTTAAACTGTTCACCGCAAGTGTAGCTGAGGATATAGCTAATGTCTGTTTTATTATGACAAGAGATTGCTTATTTGTCATCAGAGAGGTATTGTGGTGCCTTAAATTTTTATGTGGCTCACTGGTGAAGAAAGAGATCCAACAATGCTCATCAGATTTTAAAATTAACATATTTAAACCAGAACTAAGAAGTGGGATTGTCGATGGGTTATACTTGGTGTCTTCATTTGGTTCAGTGGTGATTTGAATGTTTTTTGGTTTTTTTTCTTAGTAGCTAAGGATGTCAATATTTTCTTTGATGAGTTAGAAGGTGTGAACAGCCCTTCCAAAGATGATGACTCCCTGCTTCACCATGGGAACTTGACCAGTACTTCTGATGATGCCAGCAGGTTGGAAGTTGTGGGAGAGGTAAGAACACCCAGAATTATTAATCTAATATTTATTCATGCCCATTATGAAGAGGCAATAAAGGTAATTTGATTTAAAATCTCATTCTCTGCAAGTCAACTTGTGTCTAGCCTTTCCTATGGGGACCGATTTTCTATTCTAAGATTATAATGCTGAAATATAAAATATCTCCAGTTCAAAAGTCTTGATTTCATGCACCCCCACCTATAGAAGTCTAATGCTTCACTGCTTCTGAAAATGATGGCGAAGTTTTCCTTATAATAATCCTTTAAGGAGAAGGGGAGTAGAGGAGGATTTATCATAAAAACTCCCATAAGAAGCCTTGGCTATCGATTATGAGACACATACCATTCCAGTGAAGAAGTGACCCAATGGTGCATAATAGTGTCAAAGAATATACCAGGGAGGAAATGTTCATCACATAGTCGCTTTTAAATTATGTCTTAAAAGCAAGCAAAGCATCATGGACCCACGATGAAAATCTGGGCCCAAATTTCTTTTCGTGTCTTGTGCAGAAAGGTACATTATATCCTTTAATTTTGCATCCAGCTGCCCTGCAGCCTATGGATGCTAGGGCTGTTTCCTCGGGGTTTGAAGAAACCAGAGTCTTCTCTCCTTTTCCCCCCATCAGGAATGTGAGTACATCTAGACTACTTACTGGGCTGGTCTGATGTTACCTGCAAATTGTGCCTGAGGAATTTCTGGCAAAGGGCTCACTGACACAGATCAGAACTGGCAGGGGCCTCACTAGCAATTAAAAAAGCATGGAAAACCACAGGATATTGCTGAAACCCCTGCCCTGACCCTCTTTTGTTTACTGGTTTTGATAGAGTTTAGAAGATGCAATTACAGATTATGTCTTTTTCAGGAGCAAAAGGGTTTTCTGGTGCAAGTTCTTTTGTGAAGCACTGCTGAGAAGAGAGTCAGAGATTTGCTTCGTTCTAGAAATTCAGCCCATAGAGAGCTGCACTGCTGGAATGTTTAGACAGATAATTAAAGCAGCAAAATTCAGGACACACTGAATATGTGTTTGACCTTGCTCACAATTTCATCTTCTTTACTCGTAGCTCTTCACCAGCTTCCCAAACAAGTTACAAAGAGACCTCTTTGCCTATTAACCTTAATAGGGTTAATATGACATGATATTATTATGTTACATTTTGGGACCATGTACCATATGGTCTTTAATAAAAGAGCACAGGTGAAAACCACATGACTTTTGTAAGTTAGAGAGGAAAAATTAACAGAAAATTATCAGAAGGGCATGTTGCTGTTAATGTAACAATATTGCAAAAACAATACTTAAAAACCTTTTTTCCCCACTTAGATGTATTCTTTGTTGTTTTTTAAAGGGAAAGCAGAAAATTCTAAAGAATTTGATAGGATTAATTCATTTTATGGGTTTTTTATAACTATCTCAGGAAAACAACAATGTAGGTCATGTAGTATAAGGTGGAAGGAAGAAATGAAAATTGAAAGTCATAATGGAACTTCAAGGATGGTGCAGCATACAAAAATAAAATTTTCAAAAAACTTAACACCAGATGGGAAAGATACACTGGATGCTATATAGTTTGTATGGATAAATATGGTAGCACAACTGTATAGTGGTGAGGTGAACTTTGAAGCCTAAAGCTTCCTTCAGTCTTTCAGTTTAGTTTAGTAGGTAAGAGAGCCTGTAGATCCTCATTAATGTCATCAGAACAGAGAATCCGGCCCCAGTGAAAGTCTCTCTGAATGTACTGATGTTTCTTTGGTCTCGTTTGGAAGCTAACAATGTCGTGGAATAATTTAATATGACTTCAGACTGTATTCACTAAAATTAATCTACAATCAAAGAAATTGTCAAGGATATACCATGTGTTTCTTATCACTTTTGTTTAGCTGACAAGCTGAAATGTTGTTTGTCTCAACTGTTAGTTGTTCATGCTCAATCAGAAGATCCAATGAAGACTTTATGGATGGAGCTTTATTAACACTTCTTTAACTGCAGCCAGATTGGGGGTGAGCTTTTCTTTCGGCCAAAGATTTTTTTTTTCCCCTGAGTTTTATGTTTCATTCAAATACAACTACAATCTGAGAAAACTTAAAATCCCGTTTCCCTTTTTTTCCATTGATCAAAAGTCTTTTTACATATGCCAACATAGAAGTTAAGTATACACTTTAAAATTTAAGTCCAGGAACATATTTTCGCTAAAATACTGTATTACTTTCACTGAAGTTTTGTTCTCTGAGTAGCAGCAGAAAGAAAGTAAAAATTAAAGGAAAAATTGTTTAGCAATGTATTCCAAGTTTGCATCCATTCTGCCTTTCTTTCTATGGAATGTTATATCAGTCTCCAAAGAAGGGATAACAATTTGACTTCTACTTAAATGGCTTCTATGGCCCAGTCTTGGGGCCTTCATTCCAGCTAATGTAGGTAATTTCAAAATCATAATGGCAAGAGTCGCTCCTACAGCCTTCACTTTAAGCACCAAATTGTTGATATTTGGGGGCAGTGATATTAACATTGCACAGAATATAGTTTGTTTTAACAGTCTCTTTCATAAATTGGAATTTGCACTGAAGATTAGGGCAGAGAAAAGATACTCATATTGCAGAATAAGAATTCAGGTGTTCTTTATGGCACTTATGATAGCTTTTGTAAGTTCTGCTCAATTTTCTTATATGTATTTATAAGAATTCAAGCTAGCTACATAATTTCTTTTCGTCAGATTCTTGTGAATTATGAAAGAATCTAATCTATCATTAAATTAGTTTTAAAACTAAAAATTTCAAATTTCTCCAATTTCTCAAACTGCGTTTTTGTTTAAAACTTTCATTTAAAGTTTCTGTAGCTATCTGGGTTTCGAATCCTCTTATTTTGGATAGTGAAACATTTGGGTAAGACCTTTAACCTAAAGCTCTCCTAGCACATATGAATATACTGTGAATTTGTTTGTATGAGTCATATGTCTATGAATGTTGATTGTTTCCAATTAAGCATGTGAGAATATAAAATCTACTTCACTCCTTAGAAAACAATACCCAGTTATACAACACATATTACAAATATAGCTATAAAAATGGACAAAAATGCTAAGCTTCTTGCTAGAGTGAAGTCTTCCATGTTCTTCCACTTTCTTTTGGCATCCTTTTTCAGATTAAGGAATAGAAATTTGACATACATGACTACACCGCTTTTTCACCAAAAACTCCAGTCAGACCTGGTTCTAGATACATTTTTTAATTTGTTGAGGAAAACTGAATTTTTATGTCATAACACAGGTAAGGGAGATGCATTATCTGGAGGAAGGTAGAACAAATGTCTCTGTCTGGAATAGTGTAAGCCTGTAATACCTGGACAATGAAAAAGCCCTGCACCTGCTATTTCCTGACACTGCTGGGCCAGCCCTGACTGTCTTTGTACCGGGTTAGATCCTCAAGAGTTCTTGCAAGTCCAGATTCAGTCTATAAACTCTCCTTACAGGCTGTAACAGAGGGCCGTAGAAAGGGTTCCCTTCTCAGAGACCATAACAGTCTAGAAGGGTTTATCAGTCTGGATCTGACATACAGCATTACAAAAATGAAAGGACCTTCAAGTACTGGTAAGAGTGTCTAGGTTATCTTTCCGAGTGAAAAATTACAGTACTGTAGTTGGTAGTACTTTGTAAGTCCAAGAGAAAGTAAGTGCCCCAAGTCATATAAACAGGGGCAGAAGTCCTACAAGTCAAATAACTTGGCCAAATCTCTTAGATACTCTTCAATATAAAGTTCTGCATTCATTGATGAGTCAGTGTAGGGCAAATCAATTTTCTATAGAGAAAAAAGAAACATAGGAAGCATAAAGAACAGATCTATTTTTCCAGTGGAGTCCCTGCTGCATTCAGAGAAGGATTCTCTCATGCATTCCTTATGGTGTGCTACTCAGAGGACAAGTCTGAGTTCAGGTGAGATGTGTACGTTTGAAGTGACTGTCTCAATTGCCCCTTCCCATTATTTCTTTGCAGTCCAGAAAACTGTTGGATTTAAACCTGATTCTTTGTGGATGTAAATCCAGTGAGTCTCCTGGACCAGATTAGAGTGGGCCCAAAGTGAGTCCTTAAACCTACAATGTGTAAATAGCAGATCCTCAGCACGTATTTTGTTCTACAGTTCCTTTCTTATTGCACAACTTTCCAAAGTATTGGTAGTGACTCTGACTACTGAACAGGAAGGAAGGCTTGTCAGGAGGGTTAGAAATCACAGCAGGACCACCAAGCTGACACATTGCCTCCTAATCTCCTACTGCACCCTTCTTTATTTAAATAACATAAATACCCTTTGAGTTGGGTTTTTTTATGTCTTCTCGATGTAGATTTTTAATGGAAAAAAATAAAATGTTCTGCCTGAGCTGTTTCCATATTTAATGCTCTATGAAAAATACTTCTTATATCTTGATAACAACCTTTATCAGCATGATATGCAGTGAAGATATAAATGGCTTGTTACTGATATTTCCTTAGAGCTTAAATCTTTTTTCTTGCCTTCTTTTCAGGCTCAAAGAACTGTTCCCCTGTATCAAGTCTGCATTAAGATGTGTCAGGAGTCAGGCACTGTAATAAAAGAACATTAGAAAAACTCTCTTCTTTCTTTAGTGAAGTGGATATACCAAGGGGATGGGACATTTGGGATGCTTTCATTGGTTTTACCATTTAATCAAAATGCCTGCTGAGAATCAGGAAGACATCTTACACTAAATTCTTTGGATGGGAATATTGGTTTTGCCTTTTTTCCCCCTGTAAGGATCATTCTTCCTATTACAATGTTCACTTTGTACTTTAAATTCACAAGCAGTTCTCCTATAGAGAAAGTATTTTGAAAATTCCCTCCTTCTCCCAGACATGAAAGACAAAATATTCATTGTTTTCAGAGAATTGATTGTATATTATAGGGCTGGGCTATTTCTGGCAGAAATAGTGAAGCAAACTCTGGAAAAACAGAGATGAATTAGCTTAACCTTCCCTTCAGCTTAGAGCTGGGCTGATCTTGAGGTCCCTGAAGGTCCCCGTCCATTATAATACTCAGAGAGAGTGTTGTTTGTTCCCACAGATCATTCACAGTGTGCATTTTTTGTATGAAACGCTTCAACCTGCAAACTGCCATGTAATTTCAACTTGTCTGAAAGTCGAAGCTCAACCCCTGGGCAGGACTTGTATTATGTGGAAGTAGTGTTAAATTGTGAGGAGGATCTGTAGAGAATTTAATCTCATTAATATCTGGAAAAAGACTGGTAGTCTGGTCTTTTATATCTCAGGAAAGGGACCTGCTTGGCCTCTTATTACAGTGAAATCAACTTGTTTCTCTCTGTCAGATCAAACATTTGAAAAGGCTTGGGATTTTTTTGCAAGAAACAGCCAAGAAAGAGTATTACTGAATTGTTTGACTTTCTCTTTACAGGAAGTACCTGATAAGAACAAAACCAGTGGACTATATTTTAGAGATGGGAAATGTCGGATTGACTACATCCTTGTGTATAGAAAATCTAATCCACAGACAGAGAAGAGGGAAGTATTTGAGAGAAATATCAGAGCAGAAGGGCTTCAAATGGAAAAAGAAGTAAGATACCTTTCTTTAAAAAACTTTCACCTTTAAAGCTGTGTATGATATGAGGATATGGTTTGTTTACTCTGAAGCTCCTTTACTCTGTTGCAGCAGTAGAAAAGTGCTTTTAAGCATGCCTAAATATAGGGCAGAGTAGAGCAAAAGTGTAGCCTCAAGGAAAACCAGACACACAGATTGAAGGACAAAACAGGCCATTACAACCATCTTTTTCAACCTTATGCACAAGTAGGCCATCACATTTCATCCACTGTGCTGTGCAATATAGAAAATGAGTGCTGGGTTTGAATGGCCTAAATTCTACTGAATGCAATCCACATTTCCTTCAATCTACTTTTTCCACTATTTGCTGAGTTTCTTGGTATGCTTTCCAGAGATCTAACTAGATCCCTGCCTACCTTTGCCTGTCAGCTTAGGCACAGGGACTTGGGCAGTATTTTGGTAGTTTGAAAACAGCTTAAACGTTCTCCTTCTGTCTTAATCCTAAGCATTTAAATAATTAGACAGTACATCCAAATAATTTATATCAATGTTATTTCCAACACAATGTCCTAAAACAGTAAATCTTTTGTGGAAAAAAAGTGTAGAAAGGAATGCAAAGTGTCTAAAAATGTATTGATGTGTTAGATAGCAGGAGCAAGGTTTAAAGAGACCATGCCTCTTTTGCCAAGCCTATGATCTTTCTTAAACTTTGGTAATGTGTTTAACACAGGGCTTAAGGTTCACTTTCGTGTAGAATAGGTATTGCTGAATATTTAGCTTTATTTGTACCAGACTGACTCACATGCATGTTAATGTGCATTACCATGCTGCCACTGATGGAGATAATGGAGGAATCTTCAGGATACAAGCTTTGGTCAATTTTGTAGGTGCTATATACTACCTCCCTTTCTTTCACTGAATTCCTGGTACAAGTGTAGATATTCTGCCTGTGTACTTGAAAGGCACACTTCTTTGGAGAACAAATGGGGAGGAAAAAAAACGAAATCAGCTTGTCTCCAGAAAAATGATAACAATTATTTTCTTTAAATGTTTTTGATTTGAACATGGGTACTGGTCAATCTAAGTGTATAAAAGCACATCACTTGTTACATCAACCAGTTACCCTGAACTGTTTCTTCAAATAACCTGCATGTTAGCACCTGCAGTGCTGCAGTAGTTGACAGATGTTTTCAATGTTAGACATTGTTCATTTATTATGTTTCCTGTATAAATACTACTGCCTATAGGAGCTTTAACTCAACACCCAAAACCATGAGAGTGTTGCTGCAACTGTTCAGCTTCACATCCTATAATGCTGCCCTGCTTCCACCAGGAGAGATGCTGATGAAGTCTTTGACATTTGGGCAGTGTAGAAAATGAACAGGGAATGAATCCTCCTGATTAATACATATGACCAGTGGTTTCAAACCAAGTTTTATTTACTTAGTAATTTTTACAGATTTATTACTGTCTTAAGGTCAGCAGTGCAAGTTATGAAATCACTTTATATTTTAAGTACTTTGAAACTTACTGCAACATTCTGCACAGAAAACTTTTTTAAACTGATGGTTTAAGTGCTTACTATAGAGTTTTCTCATGCCTTTTAAGACCATTTATTTAAACTTTGTTGCCTAGACTGCATGACTGTTCTGCCCATTTGATTATTCATTTCAGTTTCTATTTTGCTACTGACATGCAGTTTTATTTCTTATTAATTCCATTTGCCCTTGGTGTGACTTCTTGCCAGCATCAGTAATTGTTCATCTTCTAAACTCAAAATGATCAAAATGAGGTTGTGCTACATGACTCGAGCTAATGTTTTTAAAATCTAGGGTAGCAATCTTTTTTAACATATGACTCTGACCTAAAATTAAACCCTAGCATTTTATGATCACATTAGTTTCTAAATTTAATTATAATCCTGAAGGAAATATGCGCATTCATTCTTGGTACTCTCCCTCCCCAACCCCAGAGAGTAACAACGGTGCTGCAGAACACTTAGCTTTAAACTAAGCTGTGGGATCAGTTAATGTCTAGATTACTTTTCATTGTTTTCACTTCTCCTTTTGTTGAGACTACACATCATTCTGAATGTTAATTCTGGAATATTTTAACTGCAGTTTTAGTTTCAGATTGTTCACAAATAATATACTGCTTCCACTGAATAAAGTTTGCTCCCAGATGAAGCTAGAAAATTGTCTGCGACTTTGGCTACAGAATATATATAGAGGAAATAGATTGTAACTGCTGGACTGAAAGAAACTTTTTACCTTCTGTGAATTTTGTGTGGTTGTAGGTTCATTCTCCTTTGACTACTGTCTGTTCATATGTTGACATTTGATTGGGTTAGTCCTGTCTTTTTAATGTGAAATTAGTGGCAGAGAGGAAAATGTATGGAGTTGTTGCACTGCAGTTTCTAAACCATACTCCTCAGTATCACTGCAGGAAGAGAGAAATGCACTGCAGTGGCTTGCTGACAAGTGTAGCACAGCAAAACGCCCAGGGAGCAGTGAATGCAGGGAGCAAAGTGTTAACAGTGTGAAATGAGCAAAGTGAATATGAAAATCCACAAATGCTGAGATAACTTCAGGCACAATGTCACGATCATGTAGCTGAGAAAGATCTGAACAGGTCTATATTTCTGGCTCTAGAAAGAGGTGATAATGTTTTGCAGATATTCCCCAACTAATTCACACTCACATTCTTAAACTATGCCACAACACTCTGCCAATGGAAGTTCTGCCAGGTTTGGTGCTCAGTATATGCAGTAATAATGAGGTGATCCCAGATCAAGGAACAACAGGTCATTATAATAGTGAAGATTTTACAGAAAAAAATAGGGAAATAATAGTGAAGATTTTAAAATTAAAGCAAAGCTCTAAGAGTGAATGCTAATCGAGTGGAACTCCACAAAAAAATTTAAAACTCTTCTCCCTGCTGTTCAGAGTATATTGGTTCTGGATATGATGAGTGTTTTGTCCCTGTCACATCCAGACACATCCAGATCACATCCAACACATATGATCATATGTGTAGATGCTCTAAATAAGTTAATCAAAAAATATAGGTCATTCCAGGAAAAATTTATTTTCAGCCAGCTGTAAAATTTCTCTGTTGATTTATCCTCTTTTTTCAAAGTCTCACAAGTGAGATAAGTTAACTATAATATCCTGGCTCTGGGATTCTTGATGACCTTACTGCTTTCATATTTTAATACTCTTTGAAACAGACTCACGTGTGGGGAAAATTGAGAGGACAGTCTCCAAATGGAGTGTGTTCTTATGGGAGATGAGGTTCCAATTGCATTGCTGGTTTGTAGGCACTGATACCATCTGTGAATATTACACAAGACTCTACCTTCCAGAGTTGATGGGCAAGCAGTTTATCAAGAGTCAGGTCACTACTCTCCACATTCTGAGGGTATGTTTCACATTTATCTAAATACAAGGTAAACCAGAGGCTTAGACCAGCCCACTGACACGCAGAAAAGAATTACTTATTATCTCTTCAATGTAAAGAGAAAATACACATAGTATCTGTCATTCCAAATAAAATGTTCATGCCTCTGGCCCAGAATTTTTCTGGAAAACCTGTCTTTTCAAGAGAGAATGAAGAGTCAAAACTACTTTGAGCCCATGGTATTTTTCTCAGGAATAAATATTTATAAATTCAACCTTTTGACCAAACTCTGGATAAGTTCCCTTATCCCAAAATATTCTTGCAGCATGAATTAATGTATTTTAATCCCTCACCTAAATGACCAGGCAGAACTAAATTTCTGTCAAGAATATCTACCCTGTTCTGGTACCTGAATACAGTATTACAGATATCTTTCAGTAAGATAATTTAAATTATACTATGCTAACAGAGGTAGCCAGCATGGAGCAGCTAACATACATAACTTGTTCACTTGCAAATTCTTAAGCTGCAGTGTAATGCAATGCAAACGCAGGATAGAGGTATGAAATTAATGCTGGATGAACAAACACAGACCCAGGTTGGACATGTAATTTTTAAAAGAGAACAAGCAGGTCATCTTAGCTTTAACTAAAAACTGTGAATCTGATGTTGGGTTAGGATCTGGTTGTGTAGCCCTAGCAACTGACTCCATTTAGTTTGAATTTAGCATGTTTTTTTGGTTTTTTTTTTTGCTTCTCATGACTACACTAAACTAGTTATATGGCATAGTTCTACTACTAAATGTACTTGATACATTTTGTCTAATGATTTTGTTCAAAGTTTTTAATTTATAATTTATAAGTTGATTTCATACAGTTCATTTGAAAAAACATTTGGCATACCAGTAGAAACTGAGCGGTAGAAATACAGTAAATGGGAACTAATCACATAAGTAGTGAAGATAGTATTCAATCCTTTTTTATATATATTTTGTAAATTTATATTTACTAATGTTTCAGTATAAAAGCAATTCACTATTTTAAACCAATAGCATTTCTTTACCGCCCTAGAAAGCAGATCCCATCACAGCTACTGCATGCAGAATATGTTTCAGAGACGAGGTTCAGATATTTTAGTAGTAACAGCCAATCCATTTGGGTTTCTGCTGGCACATTGATCTTTGTATCTCCCTGATAAAAGAAGATGTTAGTGTAGTATTGGTCCAATTTTCGGGAACAGTTCAAGTTGTGTGGGTGTTTGTGTTACATGCGCGATTAAAAATTTAAACGTTGCCACCATAAGTGTCAAGCTGTCATCAGGGCATATCTAATTGCATTCACTCCCTGCCTCAAGCAGCAGCTGACATTTCTGGTGCAACATCTGGCAGCCAAAATGCAGCTGGTGTATACAATAGGCAGTAGAAATATATAATAGGTGTTCTCTGGGGAAAACCCAAAAAGACAGGGAAGAAAAGCACAGTATAAGCTTTGATTTTGTTGTATAAGCAAATATATTCTAGGAAATATAATCTGAGTTTTAGGTTACGTTAATATGACTCTAGATTTATATTTAGAAATCTTTCTTTCAGTAGTTGATGCAGTATAATTACAGAATAC